CCAAGTTCATCTGCTAGTAGAATATAAATGTAAGGTCATGGAAGGTTATTTAAAAGAATAAGTTTACAGACATAGTGAAATCTCTGTATGAAGAAACTTTTATAAATTTAAACCGTTTTATAAACTAGCTGCAAGGATCCGCTTCGCTGGGTTTTTATTTGTGGGCAAAAAGTAACGATAGTGAAGATTAAGATAATTACATTATGGCCAATCTCACCCGTTTTCACAGAATGCAAGAATTAGGTCCACCGTTTCCAGACTAATTAGAGACCTGATTCCGATTCTATTTATGAACTTCTCTCGTTCACGTCCAGTCAAACGAACTATTTTCAACGTTTCTGGAACGTTTACAATCGTTTTATAATCGAACCAATATTCGAATTTTTGTTCGAATTCAAATTCGAATATTGTTCGAATTAAATTCGAACAAATTCGAACATAAAATTCGAAATAGAAAACCACTTTCAACCACTTTCAAGCCCATATCTCCCGCACCCTTATAGCTATCGAGACGCGACCACCATAGTGCACGAATGGAGACTTGGGGCTACTATCACATACAAACACCATTCATGTGTAGTTTTTGCTGAGAAGTGAAATATAGTGACACACACGTCCATATATATATATATATATATATATATAGAGAGAGAGAGAGAGAGAGATTTATCGCAGTTGTATTTCATTCTCTGCCGCAGCACTGATGAAATAAGACGATGTTTGTTTATTTTTTAATAAATTTTATGTATTCTAAGAAATTAAATGAAAAAATTGCTCAGAAGTGTTGATGTCTGTTTAATAACAATAATAATAGGTTAGTGGCATTACGTAGTTCTATTCTATTAATAGTATCATATCATACGTTTTTGAGGGGAATAATATTTTGATGTGCCGTGTTGAGTCATGGGTGTGCCGCGAGTAGTAAAAAGTAGCGAAACACTGCTCTAGAGCAGTGATTCTGTGTGTGGAGGTCGTGAAAAATATTTGGAAGGTCGCAGAAAAATTGATGACAGATCAATTTTTTTAAAGTATTTTATAAATTTACTATGGATTCATGTTTAGAAATAGTAGATTCTTTTTGGTTTAGTGTGAAAGCTGAGTATTCACTACACTCTGAATTATAAACCAGCGATGGCAGTTCTCTTATCAATTGCAACCATTTATTTATGCGGAATGGCATTTTTAGTAACGAGCAACACCAAAACAAAGCAGCGCTCTCGTCTTTGCAACATAGAAATCGCTATGAGACCTGCACTAACTGATATTATACCCTGGTTTAATTTATTGTGCCAAAATAAGTAGGCTCACCCATTTCATTAAATTTAATTTAAAATATGTTTAAATTAATTAATGATACTAAAAATAAATCTGCTATTAAAATTATAAGTGTTTCAATGCAATTAAACTAAATAAATTAACTCCTAAATTTAAATTAATCCCCTCCTTTGCGATGTTTTTCTACACATACCCATACTTCAGGGGTCCTTTGAAATTTTTAAGTGCAAAACATGGGTCGCGGACCAAAAACTTTGAGAAACACTGCTCTAGAGAACGTTTCGTATACGTTAGTATCTTACTAAAATCACTATAGTATTGATGTGACTACTAAAATGCAACAACTACTTAACTGTGACATTTATGTCCTTGAAACAGGATACACAGAACAAACTGAATATGAATAATTCCTGATATATACGGAGCTGGAGTCTGTGTACGTCAGGAACCTTAATTCAAGTCAGTTCAGAATTTCTCATATCTTTTCCGTTCTTAATATTTTGGAGTCCATTCCTCACCTCTATTAAACACATCACACTAATAATAGATATTCCCGTGTCTACACGGTCGAAAAAATGCAACACAAAAGAGATTTAAATATATTAATTCATAACTCATTGGATCTTTGATGACACGTGGTTGCACCCCAAAATTGAACTCGAAAAATTCCACGTGACAAGCGCGTGTTTAGGGACCAACCACCAGTATTTAGTGATTTCGTCCGCTCCACTCATAAGTTGAAATCATTAAATCTGAGTGATTCAAAAGATTCGTATTTCAGTTAATAATAATATTAATTGAAATATGATTCAATCTAACAATAACTTGGATTTTTTATTACTAAATAATAATCGAGTAATAATAATTTCTTCCCCGTTTTGATTGTTAATAATTAAAATTTCATGTGTTTTCAAAATTTTTAATGAATCCAGTTAATATACAGTGTTACAATGGAGAATTGAATGTCAATCTAAGGTACTTTTCTAAGATGGGCCGTGTGTTCAGATCATTTAAAAGTTCTTATCCAGGAAAAGGAACAGTCAAAATTTTCTTATCGTATTCATTTGAAATGATGGAAAAAGTTCATAAGTAAGTTGATCTAAAGTTTTATTACAGCTAGAAAACAAAATAAATACAGTAGAGCGTCGTTTATCCGAAAGTCGGTTATCCGAAAGAATTCCAGTCGGCTTAAAGTATAATTTTTATTTGTTTTTATATTTTTCAATGTATTTATTTCGTTTGTAAAACATAAAGAAATCATTTTTAACGATACAATAGTCTTCGTTAGGCTTAACAACGACGAAAATTCAACGCGAAGCGACACGCAACGGAGAAAAATTTCAACACGGGATAGGTTAATATATTTTTTCGTACATATTCGGTTATCCGAAAAATTAGTCATCTGAACAACCCCAGTCCTCAATTGATTCGGATAAACGACGCTCTACTGTATAAATTTTCTGCAAGTTTCTTCGCTTTTACTTTTCTCTTTTGATTCTTTCCGCCCTGTGGTAGAGAGAGGGCCTTTTTACAAGCTCACTGGCCTACTGTTAGTCGACCAGACCACGACATATTTGGAACTGATCCACGAAAGCTTTCTGGGATTTTTCGACCGCCCGAATTTGATCCCGGGTTCTCCAGATTGGTGTTCACCAGTGGTCGAATTGCTTTTGGATTCTCCCGGGTTCTCCAGATTGGTGTTCGAAACCACAGGTCGTGAGTTATACATGTGGAATTTTCTGGGTATTATTCACATGTAACACACAAATACGGGTCAGTTTCCTTTAGAAATTCTAGAGAGGCACCATTTTGGCAGATCGTCTATGCTTTGCGTTACCTTCACTCAACAATTGAGATCCTCCAGAGCGGTAGTCGGACTCCTTAACCATCTCGGCCTGTTTTATTGTTTCCATTGTATGTTAATATCTATTAAGTAACACTATCTATGTGTTGTTAGACCGACGGATGATCAAGGTGGTTAAGGAATCAGTCTACTGCTCTGAGGATCCAAAATTCAATCCGAAGGCCAAAATTATTTTTCTTTAGGACTGTGATATGGGTCGTCCGGCACTACCCGATTGCCCATTTTTGTCCTGTCATAACTCAAGATGGATATGAAAATTTGGATTGGATGGATGTGGATAACAAAACGAAACATATGGACAGTCTTCCAAGATGAGAATGTTTCCTAGGAGTATTTTAATATGAAAAATCACCCCTTTTACATGCGTGGCCCGAAAAAACACTTAGAAAACTTCATGGGGTCAGACCATTGGTAAGGCATGTTCATGCAACTATCGATTTTATCCGCTTAACCACTGATAGGCCAGATGTAAAAAAAAGGTCCTCTCACTCCCCAAGACTAGAAAACACCAAATATGTATAAGTTTATATAAAAACATTCAATGTTGTTTCTCAGATTTTTAAGAAACAAACTTTCTCGTATAACTTCAATAGAAGAGGCAATAGAACTGTATCAATTTGCATTAAAGCACGGTATTCCTGATTTAAAAAGGTTTTGTTACGGAAGTATTTTAAACACAGTAAACGTTCAAAATATTTTTATGGTTTACGAATTTGCCTGGGAAACGATGGATTGCAATATAGTATATTATTGCTGGAAACGTTTTGAAGATAAATGGAAAGAAATATTTGATCGTAGAGAGTATCTGAATTGTAGCGAGACCACAATAAACACTCTTCTTTCTCGCCCTATATACGAGAAATTACAGGAAATTGATTTGTTCAGTGTTCTGTACAATTGGGCTCTCAACAATGTCAATGCAAACACCACTCTACGGGGTGTAATTGAGCCATTACTTCACAAAATAAGGTTCCTTTCTATGGGAAAGGAATGTTTCGAGACTAACATATGTACTATTGCAAATGTCTTAACAACTGATGAAATTGATTCTATTAGAAATTACTATTCCAGCGAAAACCAAGACACGTCATTGATTCATCCAAACATAAACAAGGAAGAAAGAGGGAGAGATCCTCGCTTCTATAAAACTTTATTTTCTTGGAAAAATCGAATTCCAAGTAATATTCGTGAATACATTGCAGTGAATAGAAATACGGAATTTACTTGCGAAATTTCTTCGGCAGAAGATTGTTTTATTTATAAAACTCGTCTTCCCATAACCCATAAGGTAAAGGAAAGTATAAAGGTTTGCATGATTGTAAGAGTATTGGACAGTGATAAGAATTACAAGACATGCTTGAAATGTAATGGAATGGGACATGCAGAATTAAAGAAATGTATACATGTGAGGAAATATTCATCGATTCTACTTAATGCTAACATCGACGATTCAGAAATAATTCCAGAAAATCAGATACTAATTAATCCATGCACAGATTATTTCGATTTTCCTGAAGACAAAGAAAGTTTGTTTTCTAAATATGAACAGAGAAAAGAAGAGAAGGACACTCGAAATTTTTATTTTGAAGTTGACCTGTATTTTTGATAATTCAACCATTAAAGTGGATCCGCATTATATTCTTAAATCCCGAAATTTTTCAATTGTTTAATTATATAAAAAAGCTGGAAATTGTCTTGGGGAAGTTAGTACCAGAGTGGTTCCCCGTTGCCTGCTCTGGATAGTGGTGTTACGCGAGGGAAATAATGCCTTCCGGGAGGTCTTTTAAGGGGAACTGACCCCTATTCTGGTGGTTACAGACGTGGAGAAAACCCGCAAAACTCCACGTGGTCAGCCCACGACCTAACTCCCAGTGTTCAGGGAACGAAACCGCTTGACCACTGGTGGTCCGTAAAAATACTACCGTACATTAAAAAACAAAATATCTGGTTGTTGCAATAGAGATTTTCTTTGTACCAGAGGAAATCTCTGAAACACTGAGGTCGCCTCTGTCTTACACAAAACTGTGTTAACAGATCCTCGGAGGTAGTTTAGTGGATGAAACCACAAAATACTGGTAATTGATAGCAGGTTTGCGTCTGAACTGGCTGCAAAAAATTTTCTGGGTTTTCTTCACGTGTCTAATATATAAACAAGAGGCAGTTTTGCATAGAAAATCCACCCGGGAGGATTTCCGTGGCAGAAAGCAAGTGTGTGGCGTTACCTTATTCCGTCAATCCAATCCAAGATCCCTAGAAATTTGAAGACACTCAGGGAATTACAGACTCTGTTCAGAAGGTATCTAGTAATATCATTTATTTTTGTAAAAAATATACTGATAGAATCACATTAATATGTTTAATTCTTTATGAAACACAATAAGCATTTCTCCCATTCGTTTTTTATTTCATTAACTTTACAAAACGAAAATATATAGATTTTCTAAGGAAAAATGGTCGTATTTACATTTTGTTTTTCATTTTCGACACATTCCTCCTTGTATACTGAGGCCTTATTTTCATATACGAAGCCCAAGATATCTGGACTTTCTATGGGAAAGTGGTTCCTATTTAAGTGTTACACTTATAAAAAAAACCCATAAAACTTCACCTTGGCATGAGATCCAAGAGGCACGAACCCATAGAATTTATCATGGAAGAAATCGAAATGTTTCTTTGTGGCATCTCTGCTAGAAATTAGGGGCAAGCATGGACGGGAAAAGTTAGAAAGAATGGAAGCTGCTCTGATTTTTTGACTATGGAAGCTTGTCGTTCTCCTGCTAGTTTCTCATATTATTTTCTCTTGTAAATTTGTAGTTTCTTGGTGTGAAAATAAAATAAGGTAAGAGAATGGACTGAATTTTACGCAGTTGTTTCAAATTTAACAGGATTCCCAGTGTGTTTAATATGTCAAGAAAAGTTTTCTAATAACAAAAAATCAAATGTACAAAGGCATTTTTTAAATATCTGTATAAACGGCCAAAGAAAGTAGAAACTGTCATGAATATTGCACTTATTTAGAACGTTTTAATTTACAATACAAAAGCAAATAATATTATGTTAATTGCAAATTTCATAAGTTAAAAGAGAAGAATAATATAAATTAAATAATTTTCACAATTGGGAAAACTAAGAAAGGAAAATTAAGAGGAGGAATCAGGTTCACTGTTATTACAACGTTAGAAAACAGTGTATCACAAACACTAAAAGGAAAGCTCGCGGTTCCATACGATTCTTGGCTTAAAACTTGCATTCTCCTGAAGGATATATCCTTATATCATGGTTCTGCATTTACTTGTTTATCTACATTTCTGTTCCTCAAATATTTAAAAATTTTCTCACCAATATATACTAAACAGTATACACCCCAGACAACGATTACAACAGATGTAAGTGTAACTGTAGCCGCATAGATAACAAACATCGTATAAGATTTCAAGACTCTTGGATCGCGCCGAGGAGGGAAAAAATATGCCAATATAACAAAAATGGATAACGCAACAGGAAAGCCAATAATTGTAACTTTGCTATCGATCCTGCTAACGAAATGTAAACATTTTCCTAGACACAAAATACTGTCCTCGTCGACTGTAGTAGTAGTAGTATTGAGAGAAGAAATTTCCGCGTAAGTTCCCGAAGCAGTATATTGAGAAGATATTGAACGAATTTCTTCAGAAATTCCTGAAGCAACACTCTGATTGACCTGAGATATAGGTACTTCAATATCGTTTTCGTTAACAATAGATTGTCTTCGTACAGGTATTAGTTGAACATAGATTTCTTCAGATGTTGTATCACTAGTTGGGGTATCTAAATATCGACCAATAGGTGTTAATCGTATAAAGCTATCATCGGAATTTGAACTTCCGTTCGACATAACTTCTAAAGAATCACTCAGAACACGTAAAGAATCACTCAGAACACGATTAGAAAGTGCTTGAGCCATCCTACTGGATGAAAGTTATGATATTTCTATATAATGCTTCCTCTATTCTCAATCAATTCACCAGCTTTGAAATGAAAACACCTCGTAGACACACTTTATAATTGTATAATTTGAATTACAACTATTAATTACAATTTTGATTTATTTAAAATAAATTGTTTAATTTATATAAATGAAAAATGTAAATTATAAAATACCTAGTTTTACATAGAACATAGAGGAACAGGTTATAATTTACATAATACAACGAGTGCATCAAAATGTATCTTCTTTCCTCTGTTACTTCTTGTGTATTCTTATACAGCAGGCCTTTCTCATACTCGCAAATGGCGAATAGATAGCTTAACCCATTCCTAGTATCGGAATTAAAACAGAAATCCACGTTTTCCCAGCTTCTGTCCCTAGAGAACAATTGAACGTTACTCATTGTGGCGAATATTCTGGTTTATTTTATTTTTCTAGCTTGCTCTTTACATGAACGAAAATCATACCGCAGTTCATCAGAAGACTTGAAAATCATTTCTTTATCAAACGGTAGCTTATAATTAGTTTCTGCACCATATTTTATTGTAATATGCATTTTAGACATTCGAACCATTGTCAGTTGTCTTATTATTGTTCATACTAGGAAGAAATGGCACGGTAATAAACGAGTGATATCAGGAGATTGCCAATCTGATAGGTTTAACCTAAGCCGCAATATCCACCAATGCTAATTTCCCGGCAGATATCCAGGATTATAAAGCGCAAGACGAGAAGTAGATTTTAAAGTTCTATTCTTTTACTACTGAAGATTACAATGGAATTAAAGGCAACTCTAACCCATTAAGAAAACGCTGCTATAAGTCCAGATCATATTCATTGTAGCCTGCTGAGAAATTCGGTACGTCTGGAAACAAGCATACATAAAGTATTTGTAAGAAGAATCACCTAGTATACGATTTCTTTGATTGACCCATAAATTCCTCTGTCGTCTGTCCGTCCGTCCAGCTGTCTTTCACTGAAAGCTATTTGTTCACTGGTGATTTTCGGATCTTCACTCTTCGCAGCCTGAATATTGATGGTTACGAGTCTAATCTCTCGATAAGACGTTCCTCTTTTATTACGTGTAAATAAAATTTCTGTCGAATATTTTAAGCTTTCAATTTTTATACTCCCGATTAGCTTAAGTACAATATTTTAAAATGTAAATTAATTTGTAAATCCCTGAAGATCCAATTGTATATACACAATATTTTCAGAGTTACTAATGATCATCATAATCACGCAAGAGTTTTTCAATGATTGACGTTAAATTACAATTTTAATATGGAAACTAATAGTAAATTATAATAAGTTCTAGAGAATGTTTTACAGGATTGTATAGTAACTTCATTGCCCTGTTGACACCTTATATAATTTTATCTTGAGGGAAACAGTCAATAAGAACATTTATTACTGTGAGAAAATATTATTCTTTAATATTCAGAAATACAATTTATTTTATTACAATAAGTAACAATTCTTTTTGATTAAGCTTCTAACAATGTTAATTTAATTGGGAGGATTCTAACCTATTTATGTAAAGTTTCTTCATTAAATCATGAATTTAACAGATTCTTTTCTCCATGCTTATGTTGTAGCGTGTGTTCGTTATAATAGAACATTATTCTGTCTTATAATTCACACAATTCTAATGTTTCTACATAAAACTTTCTCATATAATGAAATCAATTTGTTTATAAACGAGAAGAGAGAATATTGATAAAATGTGTTTAATTTTCTATTCTCAAACTTTAAACATGGTAAAAAAATATATATATTTATACAAATGATACATAAATCTACAAAAACAGTTAACGATAAAGTATAAAACAAATTTAAATATTCGTCACGTAAAACAATACTTGTAAAAATAAAAGATTCCCGAAGCAGTTACATTCACCCGTTTGCAATAACAATGAAATTAAAGTCGTAACAATATAACGAGAATGTCTGACGTTCAAAAGGGAAAATTAAGTAGATTATCAGTTAAAATTATCAATTGCATTATAGGACAAACGAGAACATCGAAGAGCAATATTTCAAACAGCGCTATCGATACGTTAACTGGGTCGAAGAGATACGTTCGTCGGGCAAGTAGAAGATTGTAGATCTGGAAAAAAAACCATTACGTTTCGGGATTAATTTAGAAAATTCACTTAAGAATTAGAGGAGGAAAAAGTAAATATCCTACTTACAATATAATTTTAAAAAGTCTAGACATTCCCGATGATACGGTAAATATTAGAATCGCGTAAACCGTAACTGCCGTTAACTGAATCGGAATATGTTCGTTTATATTTACAAAACGTTCATTAAAATAGACGAAAATCGACAAGATGCCAAGCTGTATTGACAGAAAATTTACAGATTAAAAATCATTGTATTCATTATCATCAAATTCGGCTTTTAGTTATAAAATAATTCATTTAAATTGCTAAAAAATAATCTTACCTCTCGAGGTGATATACCGCATAAACTTAACATTAAAAACAATACGGTATTCAACGTCCAGTTAAAAACGACCATGTTAAAAGATTAAGAATCACGTAATCATATTATAAATATGTAGTTCTGAACGTCGTTGCTTCTTCCTTCTGTTCTTTATATTGTGATGTAGAATTTAGACCTTTTCTCAATCTACGAAGTGCGGATTACCCCGCTCGTTAAGGAATTAAACTTCCATGAATAGACGACCAATCAAACATTATAAAATTAATTAAATATTTATGAGACTTATGAGTACTTAAATGATGCTGTTATAACAGAACATTGTGTAATTTTCGCAGAAGAAATATTGTAATTAGAGCTAAGTATATTTAAATGAAATTATAGTAAATGGAAGCTTTAATGAAATTTGGATTAACTATAAATTCTTAAATGGTAAAAAATAAATTTAGAAAATTAATTGGAATTATTCTTGAAAGTTTGCATTTTTCCCTTATTCATGCAAATTAGTTATTGGATAAATTATAATAAATTCTGTTTTTACAAGATAATTATAACTGAAACTGAAATTTTTTAGATATTAAACAACATTAAAGTAAATATTTGTGAATATTTAAGAAATAAAAGCCAAGTTAAACTAGAAATCTACATAACTATAGCCTATATTGGGATAGAATCCGAATCAGTTTCTTTAATAATACTGTAATAATGCAATTTTTAATATTTATTGCAAGTCTAGTCCGTATTATTCCTCAAACAGACCTTACTGTAGGGTGAAGAGATAAAATATGTGATCGCGTTGTTAAAAAACAAAGGAACAACTAGTAAAAATGACACCGATAATTAGAACAATAATTAATTAAATCGTAACCGGAGAATATGCATTCAGGTCGGGAATCAGAAATTTACATTGGCTATCAATCCCGGATATGTTAATCTTTATCCTTTGTCATTAATCACTTACATTAAAACCTCAGCCGCACTCATGAAGGAAAATAAAAACACTTTTTAGCGTTCAGACGACGGAAAACTTAAAAGGAATTTATTAATCTGAATTTTTATAAATTGACATTTCAGAAAATGGATGCCAACGAGTAGTCGGATGGATAAAACTACAAAACGCAAACAAACTGTCTGGCCACGTTGAGTTTTCTGGATGTCATTTACGCGTTTTATATCAAAATAGGAACCACTTTCTCATAGAGTGACATCTTCCTTGGCACATCGCCCACGTATTACGTTGCCGCATTCCTCTTACGTATTCAAACCGATTCAAAAATTTATTAGAGTGTAATTGATTATAGGAAAAAATATCATGATTCATAAATTAGAAACACTACGAAACATTAATAATTTTAATGTTTTACATAATTTAAATCTTAAGAAGTATTTAAGTAGGGAAGATTTCATTTCAGCTAAACATTTTTCAACTCTTAGGGAAGATTTCAACTTAAAAGAATAGCTAATAGAAAGATCCAAACGAGTTGCATAACTTTCCCGGCAACGTTTGGTGGCATCGTCTGTTATTATATGTCATTTTAAAAATATGTTATATTTTTAACAATTATAAAATGGCAAAAAGATTAATTCAAGGGGTAGGGATGTGTATTACAAACAATTGTAATACACATCCCGAATAAATAACGAATAAAATAACGAATAAAATCATCATTACGTCCGACACTACTGAAGATAAACACGACTCCTTTATTTCCCCACCTCCTCGACCTTTAATCACCAAAATTTAATATCATCAGTCTCCGCAGCAATCATATTTTCAACAGAAAGCATATGAGTAATAATTCAACATTAGTAATAATAAGAAAAGAATATTTGGTTTAAAAATGTAAACTTTCAGCTGCATAACTAGAATAATTCATTCCAGAACTGGCTATTAGTTTGGTTAATGGGAAAAGGTATTGTAACACTAGATGATTTATTACGGATTCTTCTATGTTACGGGCTTACTAGGAAAACTTTCAAGGAAATACGCCCTGTCTAGGAGTTAAACGTGTGAAGAAAACCCATTACACTTAATACCTTTGTCAGACGCAAATTCTGGAGCAATCAGCAGCTGAATTCACTCACTTGCTGGTGAGATTTGCTAGTTTCTTATTCGTTGGGACAGTGTAAATTATGCGCAACCTCCAATCTGTAAATAAGAGAGAATAGCTGAAATATTAAAGCGTGATGAAAGACTACTTATAGCATAGCTATGAAACCAACTAAACAGAAGAATATTAATTTGTAAATAATATATTTTTTATCAAAGAAGAATAGATATTATTATGTTTATGCAATTGACAATTGAGTAGTTATGGATTGATATTGCTATTGTGTATTGTCCAGGGCTGTGGAGTCGTGTAAAAATCTATCGACTTCGACCAGGGGCGGACTTGTTACCGAAAGAGACCCGGAAATTCTGATGTCATTACGTGACCTTAGAATAAAAGATTCAATAAATAGAGTTCTAATAAAGATAGAACGTAGAAACTTTTTATTCCAAAGAGCTAAAAGACTCCTCTAAATAATATATAAATGTGTATGCGATAACTTTCACTTTTCCGGCTGTTATATATAACAGAGGGAAAGTTTAACGCTCGGTCAAAAAATGACCCTTTCCTAATTTTTACCTTTTTCGACTCAGGACACCTTGAAATTTCAAGATATGCAAAAGATTCGAGGTTTCCTTTCTATATGTGTTGATGTTAGGCTGTGTGGGGGGGCACGATATTGTTCACCCTGTTTGAAGCCTAATAATTTCTGTGGTCAGAGTGGTCGGAATCGGAGTCGGATGGTTTAACACAGGAGTTAATTATTAAGCATCAAATTGGTTGAACTAAATCATGTCCCCATATACATTCTAACGTCTTAGGTGAGAACATCTTAACGTGTTTTACTGTACTATCATAAAATGGCAAACAAGCTTACTTTGAGGGTAGTTTATTTTATTTTTTTTTAAATTATGAACGCTAATAACGAGTAAAATATTCATTAATTAAGAGATATGACACATGACCACTTTTATGTCTTCACTCTGTCGACATTTAATTAAGTTTTAATTAAGTTAAAATTTAATAGTATTAATGCCCCTTTATACGCAAGCCACAGTGCCACATTTCGCTTCTTGAACTTTACCCATTCTGACATATTGTTTAATATCTCAGAACAGAAAATAAAGAATTTAAACAAATTAGACGCCAACACAATACACGCACGCGAATTTTTCCCCTAAATTTTTATTGACTTTTTGAAGGGTTCGAGAGCACTTCAAACGTGTAGATTTGCAAAAAATAACCTGGAGGGTCAAATTTGACAAAATTCCAATACTTTTCCGTTTTATATACATAAGAAGTTGGAAAGTAAAAAGGAGTCGGAATCGGAGGATTTTTTTGACGACTCCGACCCCGGCTAAAACACCAAAACTCCACGACTCCGACTCCACAGCCCTGGTATTGTCTTATGTAGATCTATTGATATAATGTACTGTATTAAAATGATTGGTAAATGTGAGAACTTCTTCAGATCTTGGATTTTTCTCTTCGAAAACAGCTTAACTTAGACAATACTTTAATATAAATAGTGAAAAGACTGTTGGTTTTTCATGGGTCTAATATGTCCTAGTTTCCTATAGAAAGTCTTCTTGGAAGGCTTTTCACTTCACGCATCTCCCATAGTTTGAATATCCTTATTTAACCAAATCCAATCTAAATCGTACCTGTGAGTCTGCTTGGAAGACTTCAGTCACGGATTTAAAAGTAAAAATTAATATTAAATTTAAGATAATATCATATCATATTATGCTATGTTACATTCTGTTACAAAAATAATGAAAGTAAGAATACCAGCCGGATGGCCGAGGAATCGGACTTATCACTATGGTGGTTAGGGTTTGATTCCGGGCGGTTTGAAACACTACAGGAATTTTCAGAAAAAGATCTGTCCCGGATTAATCGGGCTCCATTTCTCATCAACTGGCCGTGTGCTTGACCCATTCATGGATTAAAAAACCCCTTTTAATGCCCAAGAGTGTAAAAAGTCCATAAAAGTAAAATTTTGAATATTCTAGATCAGTTAACAGTAAAAAGTTTTCAACAATTAACAATGATTTTATTATTAGTAATTAAATATTAATAATTATCTTGAAACTGCCTATAATCCAGATGAATTGGCCATCTGCAATATAGGTAGAAACTTCTTATTTTATTGCAAATTTTATGATATTTTATACATAAGTGCACATTAATCATATTTTAAGTATAGATTAAAGTGAATATGAGGAAAATATTTATTGACCAAACTTTTTATGAGATATAATCTTGCTTTTAACCGAGGAATAATATTTTTTAGTATTTACTGATCGTTATGGCAGTCCAATGAAATAAATCTTCCATCTGTTAATACATTCTGTACTTCAATGAACATTTCAAAATAAAATACATCCGAATATTAATCTATTGAGTTATGTATAAATTTTGAAGTTTGTAAATTTGTTTTAGTATATTCACTACGCCCTGTCTAGGAGTTAAACGTGTGAAGAAAATTCATTAAACTTAATATAGTACTGTATCTATATTTTGTACAAGCAGAAATATAATAACATTTCAACTGAATACTTGTTTTAAATCTATTGTAAAAAATACAAATAGTAAAGAGTAATACAAATAAAGATATTGACATCTTCCTTGTATCATTGCTGGAAAAATGAACCACATTAGCGGAGTCTTTACTATTTGTATTGTTTACAATACATTTAAAAGTGTATTGCGTCCTGAATTCTCTTTTTTGCAATTTATTTACAGAATGTTCATTTGTATAAATTTCTTTGCAAGTGTAGCAGTTAGCGGTGTAGAACAGGTTCATCTTACAATCGAGAATAAACAGTAGTGGCCAATGTAATTAAAAAAACTTCCGAAAATTTAGTAACAGATGGAAACTCTGCTACTAGTAACTTCGTTATCGCTATGATAAGAACAGAAGCACATATCCTAGCAGAAGTTTTATCAATAAAACTGTTCATCGTCCTATTTCATTCGCAATTAAAATNAGGCCTTTCTCATACTCGCAAATGGCGAATAGATAGCTTAACCCATTCCTAGTATCGGAATTAAAACAGAAATCCACGTTTTCCCAGCTTCTGTCCCTAGAGAACAATTGAACGTTACTCATTGTGGCGAATATTCTGGTTTATTTTATTTTTCTAGCTTGCTCTTTACATGAACGAAAATCATACCGCAGTTCATCAGAAGACTTGAAAATCATTTCTTTATCAAACGGTAGCTTATAATTAGTTTCTGCACCATATTTTATTGTAATATGCATTTTAGACATTCGAACCATTGTCAGTTGTCTTATTATTGTTCATACTAGGAAGAAATGGCACGGTAATAAACGAGTGATATCAGGAGATTGCCAATCTGATAGGTTTAACCTAAGCCGCAATATCCACCAATGCTAATTTCCCGGCAGATATCCAGGATTATAAAGCGCAAGACGAGAAGTAGATTTTAAAGTTCTATTCTTTTACTACTGAAGATTACAATGGAATTAAAGGCAACTCTAACCCATTAAGAAAACGCTGCTATAAGTCCAGATCATATTCATTGTAGCCTGCTGAGAAATTCGGTACGTCTGGAAACAAGCATACATAAAGTATTTGTAAGAAGAATCACCTAGTATACGATTTCTTTGATTGACCCATAAATTCCTCTGTCGTCTGTCCGTCCGTCCAGCTGTCTTTCACTGAAAGCTATTTGTTCACTGGTGATTTTCGGATCTTCACTCTTCGCAGCCTGAATATTGATGGTTACGAGTCTAATCTCTCGATAAGACGTTCCTCTTTTATTACGTGTAAATAAAATTTCTGTCGAATATTTTAAGCTTTCAATTTTTATACTCCCGATTAGCTTAAGTACAATATTTTAAAATGTAAATTAATTTGTAAATCCCTGAAGATCCAATTGTATATACACAATATTTTCAGAGTTACTAATGATCATCATAATCACGCAAGAGTTTTTCAATGATTGACGTTAAATTACAATTTTAATATGGAAACTAATAGTAAATTATAATAAGTTCTAGAGAATGTTTTACAGGATTGTATAGTAACTTCATTGCCCTGTTGACACCTTATATAATTTTATCTTGAGGAAAACAGTCAATAAGAACATTTATTACTGTGAGAAAATATTATTCTTTAATATTCAGAAATACAATTTATTTTATTACAATAAGTAACAATTCTTTTTGATTAAGCTTCTAACAATGTTAATTTAATTGGGAGGATCCTAACCTATTTATGTAAAGTTTCTTCATTAAATCATGAATTTAACAGATTCTTTTCTCCATGCTTATGTTGTAGCGTGTGTTCGTTATAACAGAACATTATTCTGTCTTATAATTCACACAATTCTAATGTTTCTACATAAAACTTTCTCATATAATGAAATCAATTTGTTTATAAACGAGAAGAGAGAATATTGATAAAATGTGTTTAATTTTTTATTCTCAAACTTTAAACATGGTAAAAAAATATATATATTTATACAAATGATACATAAATCTACAAAAACAGTTAACGATAAAGTATAAAACAAATTTAAATATTCGTCACGTAAAACAATACTTGTAAAAATAAAAGATTCCCGAAGCAGTTACATTCACTTGTTTGCAATAACAATGAAATTAAAGTCGTAACAATATAACGAGAATGTCTGACGTTCAAAAGGGAAAATTAAGTAGATTATCAGTTAAAATTATCAATTGCATCATAGGACAAACGAGAACATCGAAGAGCAATATTTCAAACAGCGCTATCGATACGTTAACTGGGTCGAAGAGATTACGTTCGTCGGGCAAGTAGAAGATTGTAGATCTGGAAAAAAAACCATTACGTTTCGGGATTAATTTAGAAAATTCACTTAAGAATTAGAGGAGGAAAAAATAAAAATTATACTTACAATATAATTTTAAAAAGTCTAGACATTCCCGATGATACGGTAAATATTAGAATCGCGTAAACCGTAACTGCCGTTAACTGAATCGGAATATGTTCGTTTATATTTACAAAACGTTCATTAAAATAGACGAAAATCGACAAGATGCCAAGCTGTATTGACAGAAAATTTACAGATTAAAAATCATTGTATTCATTATCATCAAATTCGGCTTTTAGTTATAAAATAATTCATTTAAATTGCGAAAAAATAATCTTACCTCTCGAGGTGATATACCGCATAAACTTAACATTAAAAACAATACGGTATTCAACGTCCAGTTAAAAACGACCATGTTAAAAGATTAAGAATCACGTAATCATATTATAAATTTGTAGTTCTCAACGTCGTCGCTTCTTCCTTCTGTTCTTTATATTGTGATGTAGAATTTAGACCTTTTCTCAATCTACGAAGTGCGGATTACCCCGCTCGTTAAGGAATTAAACTTCCATGAATAGACGACCAATCAAACATTATAAAATTAATTAAGTATTAATGAGACTTATGAGTACTTAAATGATGTTGTTATAATAGGACATTGTGTAATTTTCGCAGAAGAAATATTGTAATTAGAGCTAAGTATATTTAAATGAAATTACAGTAAATGGAAGCTTTAATGAAATTTGGATTAACTATAAATTCTTAAATGGTAAAAAATAAATTTAGAAAATTAATTGGAATTATTCTTGAAAGTTTGCATTTTTCCCTTATTCATGCAAATTAGTTATTGGATAAATTATAATAAATTCTGTTTTTACAAGATAATTATAACTGAAACTGAAATTTTTTAGATATTAAACAACATTAAAGTAAATATTTGTGAATATTTAAGAAATAAAAGCCAAGTTAAACTAGAAATCTACATAACTATAGCCTATATTGGGATAGAATCCGAATCAGTTTCTTTAATAATACTGTAATAATGCAATTTTTAATATTTATTGCAAGTCTAGTCCGTATTATTCCTCAAACAGACCTTACTGTAGGGTGAAGAGATAAAATATGTGATCGCGTTGTTAAAAAACAAAGGAACAACTAGTAAAAATGACACCGATAATTAGAACAATAATTAATTAAATCGTAACCGGAGAATATGCATTCAGGTCGGGAATCAGAAATTTACATTGGCTATCAATCCCGGATATGTTAATCTTTATCCTTTGTCATTAATCACTTACATTAAAACCTCAGCCGCACTCATGAAGGAAAATAAAAACACTTTTTAGCGTTCAGACGACGGAAAACTTAAAAGGAATTTATTAATCTGAATTTTTATAAATTGACATTTCAGAAAATGGATGCCAACGAGTAGTCGGATGGATAAAACTACAAAACGCAAAGAAACTGTCTGGCCACGTTGAGTTTTCTGGATGTCATTTACGCGTTTTATATCAAAATAGGAACCACTTTCTCATAGAGTGACATCTTCCTTGGCACATCGCCCACGTATTACGTTGCCGCATTCCTCTTACGTATTCAAACCGATTCAAAAATTTATTAGAGTGTAATTGATTATAGGAAAAAATATCATGATTCATAAATTAGAAACACTACGAAACATTAATAATTTTAATGTTTTACATAATTTAAATCTTAAGAAGTATTTAAGTAGGGAAGATTTCATTTCAGCTAAACATTTTTCAACTCTTAGGGAAGATTTCAACTTAAAAGAATAGCTAATAGAAAGATCCAAACGAGTTGCATAACTTTCCCGGCAACGTTTGGTGGCATCGTCTGTTATTATATGTCATTTTAAAAATATGTTATATTTTTAACAATTATAAAATGGCAAAAAGATTAATTCAAGGGGTAGGGATGTGTATTACAAACAATTGTAATACACATCCCGAATAAATAACGAATAAAATAACGAATAAAATCATCATTACGTCCGACACTACTGAAGATAAACACGACTCCTTTATTTCCCCACCTCCTCGACCTTTAATCACCAAAATTTAATATCATCAGTCTCCGCAGCAATCATATTTTCAACAGAAAGCATATGAGTAATAATTCAACATTAGTAATAATAAGAAAAGAATATTTGGTTTAAAAATGTAAACTTTCAGCTGCATAACTAGAATAATTCATTCCAGAACTGGCTATTAGTTTGGTTAATGGGAAAAGGTATTGTAACACTAGATGATTTATTACGGATTCTTCTATGTTACGGGCTTACTAGGAAAACTTTCAAGGAAATACGCCCTGTCTAGGAGTTAAACGTGTGAAGAAAACCCATTACATTTAATACCTTTGTCAGACGCAAATTCTGGAGCAATCAGCAGCTGAATTCACTCACTTGCTGGTGAGATTTGCTAGTTTCTTATTCGTTGGGACAGTGTAAATTATGCGCAACCTCCAATCTGTAAATAAGAGAGAATAGCTGAAATATTAAAGCGTGATGAAAGACTACTTATAGCATAGCTATGAAACCAACTAAACAGAAGAATATTAATTTGTAAATAATATATTTTTTATCAAAGAAGAATAGATATTATTATGTTTATGCAATTGACAATTGAGTAGTTATGGATTGATATTGCTATTGTGTATTGTCCAGGGCTGTGGAGTCGTGTAAAAATCTATCGACTTCGACCAGGGGCGGACTTGTTACCGAAAGAGACCCGGAAATTCTGATGTCATTACGTGACCTTAGAATAAAAGATTCAATAAATAGAGTTCTAATAAAGATAGAACGTAGAAACTTTTTATTCCAAAGAGCTAAAAGACTCCTCTAAATAATATATAAATGTGTATGCGATAACTTTCACTTTTCCGGCTGTTATATATAACAGAGGGAAAGTTTAACGCTCGGTCAAAAAATGACCCTTTCCTAATTTTTACCTTTTTCGACTCAGGACACCTTGAAATTTCAAGATATGCAAAAGATTCGAGGTTTCCTTTCTATATGTGTTGATGTTAGGCTGTGTGGGGGGGCACGATATTGTTCACCCTGTTTGAAGCCTAATAATTTCTGTGGTCAGAGAGGTCGGAATCGGAGTCGGATGGTTTAACACAGGAGTTAATTATTAAGCATCAAATTGGTTGAACTAAATCATGTCCTCATATACATTCTAACGTCTTAGGTGAGAACATCTTAACGTGTTTTACTGTACTATCATAAAATGGCAAACAAGCTTACTTTGAGGGTAGTTTATTTTATTTTTTTTTAAATTATGAACGCTAATAACGAGTAAAATATTCATTAATTAAGAGATATGACACATGACCACTTTTATGTCTTCACTCTGTCGACATTTAATTAAGTTTTAATTAAGTTAAAATTTAATAGTATTAATGCCCCTTTATACGCAAGCCACAGTGCCACATTTCGCTTCTTGAACTTTACCCATTCTGACATATTGTTTAATATCTCAGAACAGAAAATAAAGAATTTAAACAAATTAGACGCCAACACAATACACGCACGCGAATTTTTCCCCTAAATTTTTATTGACTTTTTGAAGGGTTCGAGAGCACTTCAAACGTGTAGATTTGCAAAAAATAACCTGGAGGGTCAAATTTGACAAAATTCCAATACTTTTCCGTTTTATATACATAAGAAGTTGGAAAGTAAAAAGGAGTCGGAATCGGAGGATTTTTTTGACGACTCCGACCCCGGCTAAAACACCAAAACTCCACGACTCCGACTCCACAGCCCTGGTATTGTCTTATGTAGATCTATTGATATAATGTACTGTATTAAAATGATTGGTAAATGTGAGAACTTCTTCAGATCTTGGATTTTTCTCTTCGAAAACAGCTTAACTTAGACAATACTTTAATATAAATAGTGAAAAGACTGTTGGTTTTTCATGGGTCTAATATGTCCCAGTTTCCTATAGAAAGTCTTCTTGGAAGGCTTTTCACTTCACGCATCTCCCATAGTTTGAATATCCTTATTTAACCAAATCCAATCTAAATCGTACCTGTGAGTCTGCTTGGAAGACTTCAGTCACGGATTTAAAAGTAAAAATTAATATTAAATTTAAGATAATATCATATCATATTATGCTATGTTACATTCTGTTACAAAAATAATGAAAGTAAGAATGCCAGCCGGATGGCCGAGGAATCGGACTTATCACTATGGTGGTTAGGGTTTGATTCCGGGCGGTTTGAAACACTACAGGAATTTTCAGAAAAAGATCTGTCCCGGATTAATCGGGCTCCATTTCTCATCAACTGGCCGTGTGCTTGACCCATTCATGGATTAAAAAACCCCTTTTAATGCCCAAGAGTGTAAAAAGTCCATAAAAGTAAAATTTTGAATATTCTAGATCAGTTAACAGTAAAAAGTTTTCAACAATTAACAATGATTTTATTATTAGTAATTAAATATTAATAATTATCTTGAAACTGCCTATAATCCAGATGAATTGGCCATCTGCAATATAGGTAGAAACTTCTTATTTTATTGCAAATTTTATGATATTTTATACATAAGTGCACATTAATCATATTTTAAGTATAGATTAAAGTGAATATGAGGAAAATATTTATTGACCAAACTTTTTATGAGATATAAACTTGCTTTTAACCGAGGAATAATATTTTTTAGTATTTACTGATCGTTATGGCAGTCCAATGAAATAAATCTTCCATCTGTTAATACATTCTGTACTTCAATGAACATTTCAAAATAAAATACATCCGAATATTAATCTATTGAGTTATGTATAAATTTTGAAGTTTGTAAATTTGTTTTAGTATATTCACTACGCCCTGTCTAGGAGTTAAACGTGTGAAGAAAATTCATTAAACTTAATATAGTACTGTATCTATATTTTGTACAAGCAGAAATATAATAACATTTCAACTGAATACTTGTTTTAAATCTATTGTAAAAAATACAAATAGTAAAGAGTAATACAAATAAAGATATTGACATCTTCCTTGTATCATTGCTGGAAAAATGAACCACATTAGCGGAGTCTTTACTATTTGTATTGTTTACAATACATTTAAAAGTGTATTGCGTCCTGAATTCTCTTTTTTGCAATTTATTTACAGAATGTTCATTTGTATAAATTTCTTTGCAAGTGTAGCAGTTAGCGGTGTAGAACAGGTTCATCTTACAATCGAGAATAAACAGTAGTGGCCAATGTAATTAAAAAAACTTCCGAAAATTTAGTAACAGATGGAAACTCTGCTACTAGTAACTTCGTTATCGCTATGATAAGAACAGAAGCACATATCCTAGCAGAAGTTTTATCAATAAAACTGTTCATCGTCCTATTTCATTCGCAATTAAAATACAGATTTATACATAATGGCTCATTAAATTTGTAATAAATAGCAATTCCAGATGTTCGTTCCTGGAAAAAAGTTATTATTTAAAGCCAAAGTTTTCAATTTATTTGTTCTGGATCTTAATAATTCTAGCTTTATGCAATAATTAAATAGATGTGTAAAATTATTTATAAT